ATTGCGATATTGAAAAAAATGTAACATCGCATTATCAAATGCTTCGTTTTTCTGCAGTAAGTATCTAATATATCCCACTCATGAAATGCGACTCTAGACTAATTCAGCTTGATATAAAAAAGATAAAAGATGTAAGTAAAAGATAATGCCTTGTTATTAAGTATTATTTTATGCATGCTTAAGTTTAACTTTTTCTAAATAAGGATGTTATTACCCTTCTTAAACCAGAACAAGAAAGATACACCTTTTTTATTGTTGCTAATAATATAAATTTATGTACAGCAAGTAAACAAATAAATACATAATTTAAGATTAAAATTGTTATACTAAAAGAATTAATATATTTATGCTTGAAAAGCTTTATTTAGTCATTATATGCTCTACAAAATCAAATGAAATGTAAAGGATTTATATGCAATCACAAGATATAAAACTAAAAAATAAACTAGTTACACTGTAACAAATATGCATTGGTCCGTACAATTAGAAGGAGGGGGCATTATAAGGACAGAATTCCTTAGAAAACTACATTAATTTACGGAGCCGGATTCATTCCTTTCGACCCCACCTCCGTACTACAAGTGCAGTCCAATCGCTTTTAAGAGCCAATACACGCTTCTCCGAGAGGTAAGATCTCAGCAGAAAAATTAATCTGTTGCATATATTTTCCACTTAGTTACGCGTATAAGGAATCTTATATGGTACTGTTATATAAGAATATACTTACAAATATCAGTGCTACAATATTAACCAGAGTAAATTGAAACCTTTTAATAACATTCTAATCTATAATATGACATAATAAATTCACAGCAAAGCATGGTAGAGAATCTATATTGTCTCATTGTCTCTAATAAAATGCCCATTATATGAATAATCTATTTTTGCCAAGATTGTATTCAAGATTCTTTCGAAAGCTGTAAAGGACGATCTGGCACTAAAATTTTTACATTATTAATAGACTTTAACTTCCTATAATAATATAGATTAACATATTTGAGGTAACAAATACTTCGAACAAATACTGAGTGCCATGAATTAAATATTCATTAGGTTGCAGGAATTTGTGAAAACGCTGAAACTTTATGCACAATAACACGATACTAATATAGACTACCGACTGTTAATTAAACTGCCTATTACATAAATATTAGATGACAGGAAAGTCTGCAAAAATATCTCTGAGTGATTTATAAACCAAGAGCGCAGAAAATTCGTGAAAAGAAGTTGTAATTTCAAAAGTATCAATGTTTTTAATCTAATATACAGTGTATGTTTACATTCTTTATTTTTTTTAAAATGATGTTTCTTTAAAAGCTCATTATGCATTAAATAAGTTAGCTGTTTGAGAGCGGCACCATTTTTTCTGGTTTCATAAATAAATCTGCTGTCCTTCAGAATTTATCTACCTCGCTTCGAGATTCTTCGCGAATTCGCTTCTTTTGGGAATTATTTTTGTAAAACATTTTAGCTATTTCATTTCTATTATTACATTTCAATGCCAAATCTGATCACATCACATTTTTCTGAGTAACTAGAATGTCAGACGTCTTTCGTCCAATCTGTCTCCTAACTAAAAGAGGGCCCACAGGCGGCCGAGCGGTAAAGTCGCTGAACACTGGTAGTTCGGTCCGAGGTTCGAATCCCGCGAACGGGCTGGCTGCATGGGCGTTTTCGTGGTTTTCCCCATGTGTAACGTGTATACGAGCCAGTTTCCCTTAGAAAGTCCTCCACGAAGGCATCCCTCCTCTTAGGCAGATAACCCTCGTGTGCTTTGCCATAATTAAATACACCAACACCACCTAACTAAAAGACTCTCAAATAGCATAACTGGTTAAAATAGAACTATTAGCATGTCGACCTGACTGTTTCACATGCTCAAAGGTTAGCAGAACTCTATTAACTTGAGGGCAACCAAAACACATATTCAAATAAAAGCGTGCAAATTAGCAAGCCCAATTAAACCTTGGACCAACCCTTAGTTCTCGATAAATAATCACGGCTTATAGAAACCTATGCAGGCAAGTTAAATTGCAATAGGAAGGAAACTAATGCAGGGTAAAGGCCAGCCTATGCTGCCAAGTGCTGTCTCTAATAGCTTACCTAGATACGAAGTTACGATACATGAGTTAACGCCACAACTTATTTTTTTTTTTTCATGTTCCTTCAGTTGATAATTTAGTAGGCATCACTGAAAGCCCTTAAGAAGGGGTAGCGAATGTGTAGGAAAAAGAAGCCATTATTTTAGAAGAGAGGGGTAAAATTAAGTGAGGAAGATATGATTTTTTAGTTAGAAAGGTGACTTCTGAGGACGTAGATCGCATTTCGTCTCCATGCATGATCCATATCTAAAGTTTCGTAGTCAGAATGTTTAGAAAATTGACAGTGCTGGAGTTGACTGCACTGCTGAAGAAATTAGAATTCATTTTGTGTAAATATTCCCTTAGTGTTTTAATACTCAGATGCCTAGAGCTATACTCTATTGCGATAAAACCAGTAAACGTTGTAAATGATAATACTTTATTATGGAGCGTCTAGAAGGCGCTTGGTATCGTTAGAAGGAACTGTGCATTACGCCGGAGAAACACATTTAAATATGGAACGAATCACAGACAAGTATTATCTTCCTGTCCTTGAGATACCCAGGTTATGGCGTCCTAACAAAGGCAGAAGTTTTATGGTGACATCCATGGCTTTATTGCAGACGTAGGAAATGTGCTTCTTTCAGGGAAACCTGGAATTAATTTGAATCCAAGATTATCAGCAGTTGTAAACTTCGGCATGTTTTTACCGAAGAATTTAAGAACCGTGTGCACGGCGCATAGGTAGTGCTGCGTGAGGATGAGGTTGGTTGGTGTATTATGGCAAAGCACACGAGGGCTAACTGCCTAAGGGGAGGGATGCCTTCGTGGAGGACTTTCTAAGGGAAACTGGCTCGTATACACGTTACACGTGGGGAAAACCACGAAAGCACCCATGCAGCCAGCCCGTTCGCGGGATTCGAACCTCGGACCGAACTACCAGTGTTCAGCGACTTTACCGCTCGGCCGCTGGTGGGCGCTGCGTGAGGATGAGGAATTTCGACAACTCTAGAAAACATTAGAGCCTAGAAATTTATTTATTTTTAATTTATTTCCATTCTGGTGAAACTCCACCAAAGTAGAAGTTGTATTGACTAGGAACAGAAGCCTACATCTCCCTATTATTGTAACTGAATTTGTTTTGTGTCAGTCCCTTATTTTGGAATGAGACTTTCCTCTGGCCTAACTAAAATCAGTGCAAAGCAGGCAAGAGCCGAATATTGCATAAAAAGAGCATTTAATAACAGCTATAGTCATATTTTAGCAAATAAAACTCTAATTTATGTAGGTATTAATTCTGATCCACAACTACAGAATAAATAACTTAAAAACAAAAAAACCACAAAAATTGACAGATCTTCTAACTGGAAGCTTTGGTACAGATAGAAAACACACGTACATGTTTTATATTTACGGCGACCTGGTAATGCCATTTTGAACAAGGCTCTAAAGTATGAAGTTCTAAAATAAAATTGAAGTTGGAAGTTTATATAGAGAGAGATAAAAATTGGTCTCATTTGTTTTTGACAGACAAATGCAAAGATTTTATGCGAATATGGTGGTAACTAAAATTTCTTAATCTATGTCTGAAAAATAGAAAATGTTTCAAAAATGAGACAAATGAAGAGTAAGTTTGAAATAAAATTTGTAGAGCAACACTGTAACCGAGATGGTAAAATAACATTAGATGAATGCTGAAGGAAACTAAAGTCGTATAGAGGGAAAGAAAACGCAATGCTCAAAATGCATTTCATCAAAAGCTCGGAGTAAAACAAACCGATAAAAGGATGTAACCAAACTCAGAAATTAAACGAAGATCTTCATTTTGACGGAACTTTTTTAATTAAAATCTTAAAGCCTAATAAGCCTGATGATACATTCCCAAAGACTACAAAATCAAACATTCACCTATGACCGAACGGATAGTAAGATCTCTGAGTAGTAAAAGAGGGACCCAGTTTCTAAGTCCAGCGAATAGATAGACTTCATGGTTGTTCCTGTGGTTTCTTAATAGGTAAAGTGAATACGTGCTTATTTTCGCATCCTAGAGAAAATTATTCATGCATGTATACGATCTCTCAGAGATTTAGGTAGGTAGCCTTGGAGTATTTTGTCATTTCTACTAACAAACTAGTTCAAATTTCTACTAAGATACTAGATGAAATTTAACTAGTTCCAAATTTTGCCTGAACAAACTTGGCTGTAAACCAATTGAAATTAAAACTAGGTGAACAAACTAATTGAAATTAAATCATCTCCAAATTTTACTTTTTGCCAAAAATGATTAGACTGGAAATAGGTTTTCATAAGCACGAAGTAAAAGGAGTTTAAATTTTCTGAAACAATTTTGGGAAACAAAATATGACTATTTCATATTTTGCTTATTATATAAATATAACTATTTCATATTTTGTTTCATAAGGAAATGAATATTAGACAAGTTATAGATAAATAAATTGTTTTTAAGAGAAATCTAAGAAATACGTTTTGTGCATTGTGCAAATAGTGCTAAGAAAAACTGGGCATGAAAACTGGATTGAATTGCAGTTGCTCTTGCTTTTAATATACCTCCTTCTCTATTCAATCTTAAATAATGTACTACTATTATTGAACTATGGTTTCTCCCTCCGCCTAGACCTTTGTTAAGAAAACGATTACTACATTCAAGTAGTCGAAGGAAAGCTTACAGAATTCATCAATTAAATAGAATAAGAAGTTATAAATCTAAGAAGTTTTTTTTACATATTTTGCAGTTTAAATTAGCATGTGCATGTAGCTTAAATGAGTCTTACCTATCCAAACTTGGACATATTGTTCATAAGGTAATGTGTGAATATATGGCTTATTTCACAAATGAAATCAAATGGTGTTTAAAATGTAACCAATATTTTTAATTTTCAAAAGTATAAATGCTCTTACCTTTCTCACTGATGCTTTCGCTTTCGTCGTCTCTTTCTTCACAGCTAGAACATTCCGGCGTTGATCTTATCTCATCATCAGAGCTACTAAGAGACCGCTGTCTCAATTTTCTTCCTCTCTTATTTTTATGAGGCTTCGGAGGAGGTGGCCTCACGCTTTCTGATTGGTCTGAACTTAATGAATCGTTTCTCACTACAGATTCCACTTTCTTTCGATTGTTGTGACCCCTTCCTCTCCCGTCAGAAGCATAACAGGGATCTAAATGATTTCTTCTGTCATTTCCGCTTCTCACTGGGTGCAAACGTAACCGCGGATCATCCGAAGAACTATGCACATCGTATTCTCTTTTAATAGAAGTTTCTTTCCAGTCCTCTTCCCCTACACCTCCTCCCATAGACATTCGAACGTCCCTATGGGTCCTATCGGAATGATTCCTAAGGGATTCTTGGCTTACTCTCCTAGAAGAATCACTACGGACTTTTCTGTGCTCTTCGTGATTTACCCATGGTTGAGTTCGACCAATTCTTCTATCACTTATTAATCTGTCTCGGTGTTTCTGAGGTTCTTTCCACTGGCTTTCCCTATCCATTTGATATTCTTTCACAGGTCTTCTGTTGTCAGCCGAGTCTAACAGAGGATATCTCTCTTTCCTAGGATCGGCCCCTTCGTCCCTTCCCCTCCCCGTGTAGTCACTGTTACCATGCAACCGAGACATGCTATCACGTGTGGAAATGTCTGTCTGTTTCATTTGTTTTGTGCCCCCTGGAGGACTTCGTTCATGCGATGGCCGGCTTCTGTCTGAATACCTGGAGCTCTCGGAGTGGGGTTCTTGTTTCGTAGAATCCCTCTCTTGAGAGAACTGTCGCCTTAGTTCTCTTTGACTGTTAGTCCTGTGGATTTGTTGAAGAGAACCCCTTCGACTAATACCTCGTGAAAATTGGTTCTGTATGTCATTCCCTTTCCCTTCGCTGTGCGCTCTTTCCAGTTTTGGCCTCTTGTCCAAGTTCGGTGACATCACATCTCCTGCTTCCATTTCTCTTTGTTTAGCTGCCATGCCACTGTGTAACCACTGCCCTGTTTTGATGAGAAGTTCTTGTTTCTTTCTGCATAAAATGCACACCCAGATCACCTGAAAAAAGGAATGAAAGAAAGTGTTTATATTAAATTTACAAAGAAAACTAATTAATATTTACAGTATTCAAAAATATGCAAAAAAATTATTTTGTACATTATATGTAGAGAGATAAACATATTCTTCAGTCTGTGTAGTGGATAGAAACCCTGAATACCAGTAATTAACATCTCGGTTTTCAGTGGTTGAACGTTCAATGCATGGAAATTTAGTAAGCTTGCTCATGTGTCACCTGATTTAAAGGCACTTTTCTTAATAAAGTTCTCAACAGAGAAAGGAATTAGAGTTTTTCCTTTTTTCTTAGATGTAGTGCCCTAATCCTATTAGAAATAACCTAAAAAATCGCTAATTTTAAGAGTAACTCTTCTCCAGAAATATTTTATAACTGAGACTCGAGATAAGTTTATTTTCCGTAACTTAAGTTTCAAGAACATAGCCCAGTATTAAAAAAAGTATCTTAAGTTCTGTACTTTAATGTATTAAGGCTCTAAACGTCATTATAGTTCGAGCGTGGCAAACGGAACCTTGACTGGCAAACATTTAGAATCATCCAAGAGGGATGTTAATTATGTGCCGTATAGTAGGATGTGTCACATCAGAGTTCGCTCTTCGTCGGGGAGAAGGAATATTATATATCAAAAGATGGAAAGTCCCAGTGTCATCGGATATCATCAGTTATTTTTTGCATCTTTTTTTCATATTGGCAGAAGCAAACGCGAAGGTTTGCATTGGTTTGCCACCCTAGAAACCAAAAATGTTGAAAATTGTTTTCATAATACATGAATTTTCCGTGACCAGTGCATACTTTGCTGTTTACTTTTAAAACTTATAGTGGTCTGAGAGAGTCTTTCCTGATAATAGTTAAATTAATGCGACATTTTCCCCTTATACAAGAATGTTTTTAGTTCTTTCTTCCTAAATACTTTTTTCCCAATCCAAATATATATAATAATGCGCATATATTCTAGAGCAAAAAATAAAAAAGAAATATATTAAGTATTATTATAATGTAATATGTAATGTATATCTAATGAAAATAATCATTATCATCCTATAATTTATAAAGAATATGCTCCCTCCTTTCTGCATGCTTCTGCGGTGACACTGGAAGCTCGCTCGACGTGTATTCGGGAGTTCCCGAGTTTGAATGCCAGTGGGAGCACTGCACAATTTACACGTTCCTTTATCGATATAACCTAATGACTCTACGAATTCTTACTAATTACTAATTACTTAAGTTTCAAGAACATAGCCCAGTATTAAAAAAAGTATCTTAAGTTCTGTACTTTAATGTATTAAGGCTCTAAACGTCATTATAGTTCGAGCGTGGCAAACGGAACCTTGACTGGCAAACATTTAGAATCATCCAAGAGGGATGTTAATTATGTGCTGTATAGTAGGATGTGTCACATCAGAGTTCGCTCTTCGTCGGGGAGAAGGAATATTATATATCAAAAGATGGAAAGTCCCAGTGTCATCGGATATCATCAGTTATTTTTTGCATCTTTTTTTCATATTGGCAGAAGCAAACGCGAAGGTTTGCATTGGTTTGCCACCCTAGAAACCAAAAATGTTGAAAATTGTTTTCATAATACATGAATTTTCCGTGACCAGTGCATACTTTGCTGTTTACTTTTAAAACTTATAGTGGTCTGAGAGAGTCTTTCCTGATAATAGTTAATTAATGCGACATTTTCCCCTTATACAAGAATGTTTTTAGTTCTTTCTTCCTAAATACTTTTTTCCCAAATCCAAATATATATAATAATGCGCATATATTCTAGAGCAAAAATAAAAAAGAAATATATTAAGTATTTATTATAATGTAATATGTAATGTATATCTAATGAAATAATCATTTATCATCCTATAATTTATAAAGAATATTCTCCCTCCTTTCTGCATGCTTCTGCGGTGACACTGGAAGCTCGCTCGGCGTGTATTCGGGAGTTCCCGAGTTTGAATGCCAGTGGGAGCACTGCACAATTTACACGTTCCTTCATCGATATAACCTAATGACTCTACGAATTCTTACTAATTATTAAGAATTTTTTTTCAGTGTGTATTAATGTAGGTACAACTTTGCTCAGGGATAAAAAGAAGGATTCACTCCTGCTCCAAAATTAAGCAACAAAGGCAAAGCACGGAATAAAATAAAAACTATTGAATGGGTATACGTGAATCTGATTCAAGAAGTTGGTATGGAATTACTACACCGCATAGCAAAAAATAAAGCAAAGACACACGAAAACATATGCATTACGATAATCACATTGCGAAAGACAAAATGGGTCGGACGAATGTGCAAGGGAAACACTACGCTAATAACGGGTATGATACACTCTAATTCCTTACATTCTAGCTAAAATGCTTGCTTGATAACGCCGAAGCAAGCTGGCAACAGTGTCGCTGATCTCTTTTTGTTGTGCCTGTAGTGCTCATTTTTGGAATAATACATGTCAGAGCTCATGGAGAGTATGTGGTAGCACACTGCGACCTGCTATCTGGCGTAGCAACATATCCCACATAAGTTCTGTGGGATTCCGTTCCTGTTATCTAGTAAGCCAAGGCAGATGTATAATGGTTTCACTCTCCAGATAACTAGCACTACTCGAGCTCTATGCGGGCAGGCATTATCTTCCATAAAGATCACGTCTATAACCATTGCAGAGATAAAAGGATGCACAAGAGGGTGTAAATTTTCGTCGCGATATCGTATGGCTGTGGGAGAAGGAAATGCGTAGAGGTTGGTGCTGCTGTTAGTTGTTATCCTAACCCATACAAGTAAACCTCCTCGTTTGTAATGATCTCTTTCGATGATGTTTGCGCCCGATAGCGCGTGCCATTCACCATATCATTGCCCTTCGTGAATCGTTCTCCATGTTTAATCAATTCATCCGTAAAAAGTATGTACTCCCACTGCTCTGGTGTCCTACTGCGATGCTCATGGGCACAACTCAACTGCGTTCTGAGTTTCGAGGCACCCAAACCACAGGCCGTCGGGCATATACTCCACCTTCATGCAGTCGACGCAACACAGTTTGACGGGATATGAGCCGTTCTGCAGCAGCAGAGAGATGCGACGTCAGCTGACGTGCTGTTAGTGATGTACAGCATCTTGCACATAACAACAGAAAACGATGATCTGCCGTTGTGTCAAACCTCTGGCGTCGGGACCCACGTCTTCTACATGGGTATGATCCCTTTGATAACAATTACATAGCCTACTGATGATACTACGATGCACATTGAGCTCTCTCGCAACAGCGGAGTGTCTTGAAGCGGCTTGAAACATCCCGATAGCCCTCCAACGCATTTCATCGTGCAGATGGTGTATTCGGCTCATGCTTTCCGCTTTGGCTATCTCGAATTAAGCGGAACTATCCTCTGTTTGACTACTGAGACATAGGTTCGGCAGACCCTTTTCTAAGACATTACGGTGTGTTTGCGGGATCGCGTTTCATGATAATTTTGGTTGTCTATTTACATTAGAAGATGCAATCTTTACCTCATATGTAAACTGTATGCTTTAACTCCCCTCTTTATATTCTTTTCTTTTAGTGTTTGGTGCTTATTTTTTTAGCACCAGTATATAATAATTGTTAATTATATTAAAATTTGTATAAACATATTTTATCGTTAAGGTGGTTTTAATAAAGCATAATAATTAGGCTATTAGAATGTAATGATAATACAATAATGGAAATTATGTAATAAAATATGATCATTAAATAATTGTTATAACAAATATTATTTACTACACTTTACCATAAAATTATGTATATATAGCAGAATAAAGTTTTTTAAAGCCTCATTTTTTTACCAATAGAAAAATAACTGTATAAATAATTGCAAAAATCAAGCATAATGTAATCAAGCAGTTAATTACAAATGATAATCAACATATTATCTTAAATTATTTAAAAGTACTCTTTAAAAACAGTGAAAATAAACAGCGGGGGGAAAAAGGAAGGAAGAATTTTCTACCGCATAAATTCATGTTAATCCACCCTTTTTCCCGAATAAATCAGTCCGAACAGCGCATGCGTGTTTGTGCTCATGCTCGAGGCTGCGCAGTTAAACTATAGTTAATTGCTGAGGATCAGCTTATACCCCTGCTACAAGTATTGCTGCAGAGATAGGGTTACCATACTTCAGTAAAACATATACTTATTTAGTGGCGTATGTACAATACATTTTTATAATACATTTACTTTTGTGTTAATACAATATTTTATTCTATAACCTATTCTAAAATCGACTTGGAATGTCCCGAATAAAATTAATCGAATATGCTTTACTTCATATCTAAAACACTTTACGAAAAATTTATTTCAATGGTTGAAAAGCCTACAGTATTTTAATTATACAAACTTGTATTGCAACTATATCTTGTTATGAAGAAATGGTAAAAGAAAACCATAGATTTAAAACTCCAAAATATTCAAGATATTGATTAGCAAGGTGCATAAATTTTACAACGTGCATATTGGGAAGATAATGCGCTTGGCTAAAATTCTTGTTTCTATTCTACTCTGCCTATAAATAAGTTTTAAAATAAGCGGACATAGCTTAAGCTAAGAATCCTTAAAACTACGTCCTGTGTAGTTTTTTGTTTCATTCACCTAAAACATTAAAAAGAAAGCTGTTTGCAATGTTTGTATCATTTTCATAAAAATATTTACTCCGGGAGTACTTTTGTGCAACGGTCTTGAAAATCCTAGTAGGTCTGCATTGTGCAATACGAATTTCTGATTTCCTTTCAAAATAATTTATGCTAACTGAAGGTAATTACAGGGTAACTGAAATGGACAATCACTCTTATTTAAAATAAACTGAATGGACAATCACTCTTATTTAAAAATCCCGGACACGTTTAAATCCACGAGCAACCCCGGATGCAATTACAAATCAACGGACGTCTGTTAATCCTATGTTAGGTCACAGACGTTTTTCCATCTCTCATCGTAATATTATTTAAATGAGAATACTG